ACTTCCCACCTGGCAGTACTAGGATTGTTGGTTCGAATTCCAACCATGGCACCTCCTGCCTGGAGTTTGCATGTTCTCCCTGTGCCTGTGTTTCCTCTGGGTACTCTGGTTTCCTCCCACACTCTAAAGACATGCTGGTAGGTTAATTGGATCCTGTCAAAATTGGCCCTAGAATATGTATAAATGTAAGTTAGGGACCTTAGATAGTACGCCCCTTGAGGGTTAGGGACTGATGTGAATTTACCACATATATATGTAAAGCGCTGCGTAAATTGACAGCGCTATGTAAGTATCTGAAATGAATAAATGTACTAGCACCCCTAACACTTATTTTTGCTAGCTATATAATATGCCCAAATCTTTCTTGTTAGAGCACACATATGCAAGTATGTCCAAACTAACAAACCAAAAGCCCCCTATTGCACCACAAGACCATGTTTTGTACCAATTAATAGGTTGTGTTCAATGTGCAGCTAGCTATTCTTTTTCTACAATCCTCTTACAGTAATAAATTGGGCCCCCCAATTTATGTTGACTTTGGGCCTTTACTGGCAAATATATATTTGTCAATGTCATATACACAGTATAGCTGCAAGCATACATTCACCAATGCCAAATCCACAATAGAACTGCAAACATATATTTGCGAATGTCATATACACAATGGAGCCGCATGTAAAATTGCTATGGTGCACAAATAAACGCCAAGACGGCTGTTGGAGAAGGCGTTAGAGCAGCTGTCATACGGAAATACGTCATGATGTTGGCAGAAGGATGTTTGCACACACCTGGAAGTGGAAGTGGGGAGTGCGAGTGGTAATTTGCAAGTCTATTTTTTAGTTTTGTGAATTGTTTTTTTTGTGGAATTCCAGACCACATCTGGACATGGCAAGATCGCTGTTCTCCACCAAGGAGCTGATCCTCATTTGCTGGGGCAACATTACTAATAATTGTATTTTCAGTTGAAAACATGTCCAATTCCTAGATCCATAGCAAAGGTTCTTCCTAACTATTCAGGTGGCACAGACACAAGCATACACCCAGGACCACTGTTAGATATCACATCAGTACAGCATACCTGACAGCCCCCCACGCCAGAGAAAATATCCAAATTATATTTATGGTAAAAATACACCAAAAACATTATTAATGGGCATAATCCCAACCACATTCCTGTGAAATCTAAATGATAAAACTGTACTGAGTTCATAAATAAAGCTGTGTGTGTAATTGAGGATCATTCACATGGGTGCTGTGGCCTGTAGAGTGGGAAACAGTGGTTTGTTTTTGTGGCTATCGCCGTTTGCAGGCAACCTATGTTACACTATGGAAGTGCTGCAGGTCATAATTTGACAAGCATAAGGGTGGAGGTGTACAGCCCTGAACACAGACAGTGAGCATTCAGGGCCACTTCCCCACGCCTTCACACCTGTCAGATTAAAACCTGTGTTCATACAGCTGCTGTGTCCCCATAGTATAACAGGTGGCTCTAGCCACATGAACAACCCACTCATTCATGCTGTACAGGCCAGAGGACTTGTGTGAATGGGGCATTTTTTACTGTTTTTTTCCTCAGCTCATTAATTTCAATAAGCTACCTAATGTGTGGGAACATGCAAAAATACTACAGGCATATTATTTTCAAAGTGTGTTGCACCTAACCGCACAGTAGTGTGGTGCCATGTGTTTTGGTGGCTGTGAATGGGTCTGTTTTTAATAGACGTGTGCAGGTGCAATTACATTTTCATCATGGTACCTGCGCACTTCTGCAAAGGCCATTGCATTTCTTTGCTGTGCTGGAAAATGTGTGTTTCTTGCATGCGTTTCTGCACCACAAATGGTGTGAACAAGTCCTAAGGGCCAGTTCACACTATAGAAACAGTCTAGATGTGTTTCTGATGCATTTTCGCATGTCCTTTTGGCATGCATGTTTAGTGTTTTCCAGTACATTTTGGATGCGTTTTGGACACGTTGCATTGCATTTTTGTATCCCTTCCAGTTAGTTTTTTCTACTTTCTTTTTATTCAATTTAATTAGGGACATGTGCGTTTTAGTACATTCAAGGGCATTTCAATGCGTTCCAGTACAGTTCTGTGCATAAACAATGCAGCGTGGTCAACTTTGTTTACAGCACCTGCAATGCACTGAAAATGCAAGCGCTGATGTGAACTATGACATTGACAACCATGTAACCTTCTTTGTGATGCTGAAAAAGCAACTGAAACACATGTAGTGTGAACTGGCCCTAAAGATTATTAGAGGTAAGGGAAAGGGACTGGCCAGGAATTGTGAAATCAATCAGACTAGTGGTGAGACACAATCAGCAATCGTATAATAATGTGAGATCTGAGCTGCAGCTGATAGAAAATGAGACACATTCACTTGATCAGTAAATATAAATAGTTAAAAAGAGTGGGGCAGTGATCCATAGATTTGCATATGGGACAGGTGATGATGGGGTGGGGGAGGGCGTCAAGTTGTATAAGGAGACAGGTTTAAAAGAAGATAAAAAAAGTTACAATGAAATATACACAGCATGAAACTTGCACATTTCCAACTTGTCAGAAGAATAGGATGCAGGTAAGATTCAGCCCCTTTCCACTTTGTAGTCATTAGGCAAAATCTTAATTTGCTTGATCAATATTACTGTCACAACCCAGAAAAAATGTATCTCCATTTTTTTTTAACATTCATAAATTTCAAGGAGATTCTAATCTAAGGGCAGAAACGCTGCCATGTACTAGGCCCAATTAACCTAACTGGATGTTTTGGCAAAAACACATCCATACAGGGAAAGCATGCAAACTGTGATGCAGCCATGAGTGGGATTAGAAACCATGACCCAAGTGTTGTAAATTCTGAGTTTTAACCACTAAGCCACTGTGGGAGACAGAGTTTGAGCTCCAATGTAGAATAGTTTACATTGTTTAAAATGATAAAAGCGGGTGTACTACACTATTAAGCACCTTTCTGGCTCCTGTGGCTGAGCTAATTCCTTCCCAGGACCATTTTGGCACCCACCCTGATGGATGGATGGTTGGAGCTGGATGACTAACCCATAGCTGCTAGCATACCGCTGCACCCCCAGATGTGTGATGTGTATAACCCATGCTCATTAATACCTTAATATAGAATAGTTACATGATTAAAGAGAAGGAAGCTATATCATTATATTGGGAACTTAGAACTAGACATTCCAAATTATTTAATATATAAGTGTGAAAATGTTTAACATTTAAAAATAGAATGTATGATATTCATTAACAAATGCATTAGTTCTCTGATCATTTAGGAGAAACAGCAAAAAAAAAAAAAAAAAAAATAAATAAAAATATAGGGTGTACTTTTTATTTTACATTCTAAGTATTCTTATATGCAAACAGAAAAACACCAAAGCCCACGGTTGTGCGCCATCTAGTGAACATATCCGGTATTGCACCTAAAAATGTGCCAGAGGTGATTCTACATTTACTAAGAGGAAACAGTCTACAAGTAGACGCTTTTCAAGGAGTTTGCTAGACGCCTTTCAGAAGACTGACAGGTCTAGACTGTTTGAATTGAGTCTGCCTGAATGTTCAGCGTCTACTGGTAGACTCTATGCTTAGTAAATCAGGGCCTAAATGTCTATCATTTTTGCAATTTATTGTGTTTTCCCATTTTTTTTTTTATATATATACAACACTTGTGTATGCAGTTTATTTTCATGTCTTTTCATCAGTACATATTCTGTATTACTCATCGAATCCCTTGTATGTTATATTCCTGTCGGTCACTGCATCTGTTTTCGACTGATTTTTCTGCTGTTACCTATTCTATAATAAAATTCTTTGTAAAAGAACCCCCAGACAAGTGCGATGGACTCTCTTCTTTGCCAGATTTATCTTCGACATTACCTTCCGGTCCGGTTTCAAAAATGCCCTTGCAGATGCCTTTTCCAGATCATTTGACATTGCTGACTCAATGCTGTGTCATGTTGAACTGGAGCCTATGATTTCTGCCAATCGTATCCTGGCCACCACTCATCTTCAGCCTAAAAGCATCCCACTCGGAAAGACCTTTGTGGTCCCTGCCCTTTGCTCCAAGCTACTCAAATGGGCACATGACTCTAAACTCTCTGGACATCCTGGGGTGCCCATGCACCTTTGCCTTCCTGCAGTGTCATTACTGGTGGCCCTCACGTCAGAAGGATGTTGACGAATATGTTCAGGCTTGCTCCATTTGTGTTCAATCTAAGTCCTCCACATGTGCCCCAGCAGGTCTCCTTTTACCTCTACCTGTTCCAGATGAACCTTGGCGTTGCATTTCCATGGACTTTATTTCTGAACTATCTCCTTCAGCAGGTTCCACTGTTATCTGGGTGGTTGTGGGAGGTTTTCTAAAATGTCCCACCTAACTCCACTTCCAGGACTACCTTCTACCGTCACGTTGGCTTCCAACTTCATTAAGGAAATCTTCCATCTTCACGGTATGCCCTCACTCATTGTTTCTGATAGAGGTGATCAATTTACAGCTCGTTTCTGGAGGGCTCTGGCCACATCCTTCGGAATCAAGTTGGACTTCTCCTCAGCCTTTCATCCACAGTCTAATGGCCAAACTGAAAGGGCCAACCAGAACGTGGAACATTATATTTGTGCCTTCATTTCAGCCCATCAGGATGTTTGGGTAGACCCACCCTGTGCAGAGTTTGCTCTTAATAAGCATGCCAGTGCCAATACTGGTGAGTGTTCCTTTTTCACTGTGTATGGTCATCATCCTTCTGTACCATTTCCTGTTCCCATATTCTCTGCGGTGCCCACGACTGCAGACAAACAACGATCATTCAATTTCATCTGGGCAGATGTTTCCAAGAATTTACATCTGGCAGCTTCCAAGTACAGTGATACCTCGGTTTACGTTACGACTCGGTTAACGGAACTTTCGGTTTACGAATGAAAATCCATTGATAATAATGCCTCGGTTTATGAATCTTTACCACAATACGAAGCACGTTTCCCCAGGATGCATTGCGCCTGGGAGGTTTATATCTCCATGCATGCTGGAGTCTGTGTTGTGCCTGGGAGGTTTACACAGTAGCACTGTGCATACTGGAGTCGGTGTTGTGCCTGGGAGGTTTAGCAACATGCATGCTGGAGTCTATGGAAAGGTAGGGAGGTGAGCTTTGTCATTAGTATGTCTTTTACTGTCTTTTCTGTATTGTGGGGTGGTTTCCATGCCAGCTCATGTGCTGTGCATGCCTGGTACTGTGTATTTTGCATTGTGGGGTGGTTTCCATGCCAGCTCATGTGCTGGTCATGCCTGCTACTGCGTGTTCTGCATTGTGAGGTGGTTTCCATGTCAGCTCATGTGCTGTGCATGCCTGCTACTGCGTGTTCTGCATTGTGGGGTGGTTTCAATGCCAGCTCATGTGCTGTGCATGCCTGCTACTGCGTGTTCTGCATTGTGGGGTGGTTTTCCATGCCAGCTCATGTGCTGTGCATGCCTGCTACTGCGTGTTCTGCATTGTGGGGTGGTTTCCATGTCAGCTCATGTGCTGTGCATGCCTGCTACTGTGTGATTTGCATTGTGGGGTGGTTTCCATGTCAGCTCATGTGCTGTGCATGCCTTCTGCTGTGTGTTTTGCATTGTGGGGTGGTTTCCATGTCAGCTCATGTGCTGTGCATGCCTGCTACTGATAGACTTGGGGCTCTTGGACTGGGTGTGGGTGTACAGTAAAGCATTTTTTTTATTTTCTGTTCACTTAGTGACTGTGGTGTCATGGCACCCAAGAAAGCAGCGGAAGCTGGGAAGAGGAAGAAGGAGATGATTCTGCTTGAGGTCAAGAAAGAAATCGTCATGAAGCTTGAAGGAGGAATGCGATTGACTGACCTTGCCAAAGAGTATGGAAAGAGTGCATCCACAATCGGTACCATCCTAAAGATGAAAGAAGATAACTGGGAGAGATGCAGCCAAGGGAGTCACCGGGGTCTCCAAGCAACGGCCTCCTGTTCTGGAGGAGGTCAAAAAAGTTGCTCCTGCTCTGGATTGAAGAGAAGCAGCGTGCAGGGGACACAGTGACCAAGGCAATCATCTGCGAAAAAGCCAAGGCCTTGCACACTGACCTCCTCGACCAACAGCCAGGAATGTCAGCCGATGCAGAAGGCTTCAAGGCGAGCAGGGGGTGGTTCAAAAGTTTCAAGACCAGATCTGGCGGGGTGGAGCCTGACCATGGCGGCTGAGGAGGGCGCGATGTAGGAGCTCCCTGACAAGCTCCGCTTTCCAACCTTCCCAGGAGCCCTCATGATGAAGGAGATTGGCGGGGTGAGACCTACCTCTGTTTGAGGGGGGGTCTCAGCGGATCTGTGCCTGTCTTCTGGTGCGGTGGACCGGGAGTGGGAGACGGAGTTCGGTCTGTCCGGGGCCCAGCGGAGATGCTGTGTCGGGTTCCCGGGAGACAGGGAGGAGTGGCTTGACCACGTGGTCAGCCTCTGAGGTGTACTGGGAGGTGAGGAAGCCGGCCGGCCTCCCGTAGAGAGAAGGAGATGCCGGTCCGCTCCTTGGTTCGCTATCGGGCTTGCTGCTAGGGCTGAAGAGGAGCCTAAATGCCCCAGTCTTGTGTCAACAACCAGAGATGACTCTGAGGAATCCCCCTGAGGAATTAACTGCTGAAAGGACTGGCATCTGAAGCCTGGAGCCATCTCGCAAGAACAGAAGAGAGAGGAGGGTGAGTGAGACTGGCTGTGGCTTGATATATGCCAAATGTTACACTGTGCTGTTTAGAAAAAGCAAAGAGTGAAGGAGAGAAAGGGGGATTCCCAAGGAATACAAAGGAGTTGAAAGGAGAAGAGGACTAAGTGACATAGAAAGGAAAGTTAATGGACAAATAACCAGGCAAGGCTGAGATCCGAGTATATATATTTAACCTTTACTTACCCCGAGTTTATAAAGGAGAATAAGACCCACAGAAGATATGAAAAACAAAAGTGCTAAAGGAAGTGGGCTCAAAGGGTCCCAAACTGGCACAATTAAAAAATATACGTCCCAGGGAAATGTGACCCCAGAAAGGCCCCAAGGCATAAATGAAAAAGGAGAAGTGGATCTCAGTCTGGAAAATAGTCCTAGGCTATCGTTGGTCTTGAATGTTAGCACTCAAAAAATATCAGGAAATATGGAGATGAAAGAGCTTGAAAGAGATCTACAAGTACCGAATAAAAAAGAGATGGCAGAAATGTTCAAAGAATTAGAGAAAACAATAAAGCAAGAAATGGCAACTATTCAGAATGATTTGGGACAGCTGTTAAAGGGAGTGGAAGAAATGGAGGAGAAAGTTAAAGATCAGGCACAAAACATTTCCGAATTAGAAAAGAAGATAACCAAGGTGGGGAAAGTCCAGAAAAAGTTGCTTTATAAGGTAGAGGTACAGGAAAAAAGGGACAGGAGGAGCAATCTTAGGATATGAGGGGTCCCAGAGATTTCAAAGGGAGAAGTATTGCAAGAAGTAGTAAGTAAAATCTTAAGCTCCATAATGGACAGATCAGATATAGAAGTGATTAAATTAGATGGAGTTTTTAGAATAGGAAAACTCCAACAAAGTATTGGGAAGGAAAAATTGAGAGATATAATTGTTAAATTTCATAAGTATTGGGATAAAGAAGAAATTTGCAGGAAGATCAAAGGAAGAACAACAACTAAGTATGGAGAAATAGACATTCAGATTGTTGTAGACCTAATACCTGAGACTTTGTGGAGAAGGAGATCCCTGAAACCCCTGTTAGAGCAGATGAGAAAGCAGAACGTGCATTACAGATGGGGGGAACCAGAGTGCCTAATAGGATGGAAAAACGGAGTTACAGCTTATCTGAGATTTCCTGAGGACTTGAGAGACTTTTGTGATAGACTTGAATTGCAAAGAATGGAAATTGCTGGATGGGAAGAAGAAGAAATTAGAACTATAAGAAAAGAGGATTGGCAGCTTGTTAGGGGGGAAGGTAGGGGGGGAGAAGGGAGAAAGGTAGGGGGGAGAAGGGAGGAAGGGGGAAGAGTGGAAATTTATTTTTTTGTTCTCCCTTCCGGTCTCCTTCTCTCCCTTGCGATATCCCTTCTAGATTTGCGGCCTTAGAGGTCTGTGGAAACTTATTGAGTCAAGTAGATAGCTCGGGGGTAATTGGGGAGGTTGGAAAGAGGGAGAGAGCCATTCATGGGCAGAGTTTATCCCCAAGGATTAAAGGTGGGACTAGGCCCACAAATGATTGGTAGGCATACTAGAAGCCTAAAAAGAGAGGGGGAAGGGGTATGGGTATGGGGGGGGGGGGGGGGGGGGGGGCTAGTGGATGGGAGGATGGGGGGGGTGGGGGAGGGGTATTGGGGTCAACTTCCTGCATGATAGAAGGAGATATAAAAAAGCAAGGAATAAGGAAGAGCATGGATGGAGAAGAGGGGAGATTTAAGAAAGATGGAAGAAATACAGTTTATAACTTATAATGTAAATGGGTTGAATTGTCCTGGGAAAAGATTTAGGATATTTAAAGGGCTACAACATAGAGCATCTTCAGTGGTTTTCTTGCAGGAGACACATTTTGAGATAGAGTCAAATGTTAAGTTAAAATCTAGGTATTACCCAGCATGGTACTATGTAGATTCCCCGATTAAGAGAGCAAAGGGAGTAGCAATAGGTTTTTGCAAAGAATATTAGGTTTGAGCTGGAGGATAGGAAGATGGATCCGGAAGGGAGATTTTTTGTGTTTTTAAGAGCTAAACTACAAGAAATTGAGTGTACAATGGCTAATATTTACTGTCCAAACAAAAAAGCCGGAGTTATTTTTGAAAAGTGTGCTGAGGAAGCTGATGGACTTTAAAAAAAGGCCGCCTTGATTTTGGCTGGAGACTTTAATTTTTGTATGGATCCACAAAAAAGATGCAACCTCTTCTGTGCAGAGAGAGGGGTGTAGGGCTCTGAGAATACTGAAGAAAGAAATACATGAGTGTCAACTGGTGGATATCTGGAGAATTACACATATGCATGATAGAGACTATACCAGGGGTGGCTAACCTGTGGCTCTCCAGCTGTTGTGGAACTACATTTCCCATGAGGCATTGCAAAGATGGGAAGTTACTGACTTGCAGAGGCATGATGGAACTTGTAGTCCTGCAGCAGCTGGAGAGCCACAGGTTGGCCACCCCTGGACTATACCTTCTTCTCAAATGTTCATGAGATGTACTCGAGACTAGATTATATATTATCAACTCATTGAGTCTGTGGTTAAGGTAGAAATAGAAGCAATGTCTTTTTCAGATCATGCCCCTGAAGGAGGGGGGCAGGAGGTCTAGGATGGAAGCTGAATGAGGCACTTCTCCTAGATAAAGATATTGCTCAGAAGATTGGGGAAGAGATTAAGCGATTTTTTTTGAGGAGAATGAGATAGGAGATGTGTCGATAGCCACAGAGTGGGAGTCTCATAAGGCATATATAAGGGGAATGTTGATTGCGATTGGGGCAAAAAAGAAAAAAGAAAGAAGAGAGAAAGTTAGGGGTCTTTTAAAAAGAAATATGTGACCTGGAACAGATACACGAAAATAGAATAACAAAAGAAATAAGGCAGAAGGTAATAAAAAAGAAAGAAGAACTAGAGACTTTGATGGAGGAGGAGAGGAGAAGAGTCTATAATAAAGTACTAAGTGAGAGGTATAGATGGGGAGATAGACCAGGAAAATATTTAATGAGAGCCTTGAGGAAAAAAAAAAAATAGGAATTATATAGAAAAAATAAAAAGCTCCAAGGGAGAACTGGTCTATTCAACTAAAGAAATTGCTAAAGTATTTATGGAATATTATAGAAATTATAGAAATATTCCAGAGCTCCGGCACCTTAATTTACAATCCGTTGCCATCCGTGTGGCAGCGGACTCCAGCGGGGCACCGGAGGCTCTCGGCGGTGTCCCCTGCATCTTAGAGGGGGACTCAGGGTTGTATTGCCCCCCTCTGTAGCGGCTGACGTCCGCGGCTTGCCGTGGCCGCATCATCCGGGGTTCCGGCGCCTCGGACCCCAATCTACTGCAATCCAGACAGTGGCTGACCATCCGGAGGGCATCAGAGGCACCCTCTGCATCCCCTGAGTCTGGGAGCTATGCTCTGGGATTTATTGCCCCTCCCTGTGATACCGGACGTCTGCGGCTTGGTGCGGCCTACTCCCTCCAACCTGGATTCCTTCCATCCTGGCCACAGTGAGTACAGGAGGCAGGGGGGCTGGCAGGTACTGGCCACCGGGTCCTCCTCCAGTGATCCAGGATCCGGGACTCCCATTTGATATCCTGGATGCCATCTCCCTCTGTGACCACAGCCCCTGATGGGCTTGGGGGCTCGCGGTAGCCATTGCGCTGCAGTCAGTGGGGTGCAGGGACTACCTATATCTGTCCTGGAGGGCCCTGGGGCCAGCATAAGGGGACCTCTGTCACACTGGGGTCTCCCATCCCTCTCAG